AAAACTGGAGAGAACGTAAACAGCCCCTCCATATATATATATGTATTCACTGAGTCACATAGAATATGAAAAAACTATATTATGTAAATCATCATATTATCTATAATTTTCCAACTGACAATTGTTTTTATAGAGACACAGTGCATTCGTTCTCTTTTTTAAAAACATATTATGTGTCTTCATTGGCTTTGTAGCATATTAGAATGAAGGCGTATGGATAAAAAACGCAGAGGATTAAACAAACCCCTTGAGTCACATTATGTTTGGGTGAATGAAACAGGATCCTTCCCCAAACTAGCATAAATAAATCCTCCCTATGGAAAAGTGTCAGCGATTTAAGGGTTAACATAGATTTGAAAATAATTTTTTAAAAAATCTTATCAGAGGACTACACAGACAAGTATTTGGAATTCATCCCCCTTTAAAAATGACAGCACGTTTGGCAAGTGTGAGCAAATGTCTTGAACTTTACTGGGTTTGAGAGATCTGAGCACAGCTATTCACAGACAACCACAAAGCTGCGATCTGCGAATAAGCCTCGGCTGGGAGGACTCTGATACCTCTGACAGCATTGCTCGCCACCTGGAAGGTTTCCAGCAGCTTTCAAGGTATTTATCACGGACTCGTGGCTGGTGACAGAGTGCGACTGGTGGAATAACTCCAGCACCGCTCCCTCTTTGCCATCACAGAGCGCAGCGCGTTTACCAGCACCCAGACCAGCTAACCCTTCAGCCCACGCTGTGGGGCTCCACGTATCCCTGGGACCCCATTTGTAACCGCAAACGCCTATTCCGGCATTGCCGTTATCACCTTGCTTTCTCTATGCCTCACGCCCAAGCCTGTCCGTTTGCCGAGCTCTCTGACGAACCTCTGCAGATGCCCTTCTTGGAAGCACGCACTGTCATCAAAGGGGCTGGTACCCAGCCACAGCGGCTCCCTGCTTTCTCCATCACCCCGCAGGATGTCACAAGTGATCCCATTAAAAGATGCTGTTCTCAAGAATCCTGGCTGGGTCTGACTTTGAGAAAAAGACAAAAGTTTCCTGTGTTGCCATTGCTGTTTTGCAGTTGTGTTTTTTCACTCGTGCTCTCTTCTTGTTTGTATTAAAAAGGACCCTTGTATTATTAATATAGTTCACCCCTCCACAGTCACTATAAAACAGACTCCATATTTTCACACCACTCATGATCTTCAAGGTTATAGATAAATTTTGTCCTATGTGATTGATTTTGGGGCACCGAGTCCCGCCCCAGATTGTCTAGGGTGAGAGTAGAGGCAAAAAACTCACTAGTGCTGAGACCACCTTCGTGGTTCTTGATGTATCTTTTATAGTTTTTCCTCAAGCACTGCCAGGTGGTTGTATATAAGATGAATGCAAAAGACTTCAGGGCTATAGCAATACTAACATACAGGTATCTATAGACCACGTTGTCATACAGCGCGCAGGCTCCTTGCTCGCCACAGAACGTGCTCCAAAACAGACACGTGGAGTCAATTCCAGCCCCAAAGATCAGTGGAGGTGGGATAAAACCTGTCAAAACAAGAGAGACAAATCATGCTTTTATGATCCTTATGATAAAGAGAGAAGATGTGATTGCAGTGAATGGAAAGAGAGGATACTTTATCAAGTTTAAAAGTCCTAGATGCAGCCTGTGATTCTGATTTTTTAAGTTCTAAATCAACTTAAACAAAGTCTGTGGATGAGCTTTTACCTCGGACTCAATGTCTACGGAAGAGATTCCTGCTTATATCAACATGCAGGAAGGATTTTACTCAAGTTTAAGTGGCTTTTATTAAGCTTCTCATTTGCCTAATGAGACTGAGTGGAGGGGTAAATGAAAGAGGAGGAGGAGAGCCTTGCAGCTTGCTCTCTGTTTAGACATTGGTAATTCTGTGCTCCGGGTTGTTCACCTGAAGGATGCCATAGGACTCCAGTTCAGAGCCTGAAATCAGCTGGGGCACTGAGGTCTAATTTTGGACCTTTCCCGGGCACAGAATAAGGTTTTCTTGAGGTCTAAGGAAAATAAACAATGGCCTCTAACAGATGCCAAAGATTAAATCTGAAAAGAAGGGAAAATTTCAGTGCACCATTACATATCACAGCAGGATTCTCCCACAGCCGCTGCAGCTAACTACTGATGAGTGTTTCTCAATCATAGTTTGCAGCAGAGCTGCAATCTTAAAACAAAGTAATCACTCCAATCTCATTTAACTAATAAAAGCAATGTTTTCCTTCTCTACTTGTCCCCATTCTACAGGGATATTGTAGAGGCCCCCTGTTTCACATTACCCTGACAGTGGTTAGGACATCCACATTCCAGCTTTGCACTCCCCAGCCAGCACACGTGCACCGAGTGTGTGGCACTCAGAAGAAAATGTGGATGTTCTACACATGTAAACCACTTCTCTTCCTTCGGCTATATTTATGGGGGGACGCTGGAAGCAGATAAACCCTGGGAAAAAACCCTACCGATAAAATCATTGCTGTAGGTTAAGACAGCAAGCAAAGGAGAGCATCGTATCTACTGAAACCGAGCAGCAGGTAGGCACAACACACCCTCAACAGTATCACTCCATTCGCTGACGCTGTGATGCCTGAGACTCTATAAATAAATGTGTAGACAAAAACCACAAGGACTGCAGTTTCTAGACAGAGACGTGTTTAATCTTGGATCCAGTTTCATCATTAACCTGGATTTCCAGGCTTAAAAAAGATACCTTCCTTCAGCCTGTCAGGAACAAAATAGTGACATTCATGACATATATCCTAAGACTACAAATAAATTGGTTGTCTTCGCTGTTTCCTGCGGTAACCGAGATCTCTTTATTTCACTTTGTAGGTGACTAGAGCTCTGCAGATTTTGTTTGATCTTCCTTATATGTTAATAAATGCAGGAGTTAAGAAAGGCTATATGGGCTTTTGGTACTCATTTTAACCAGTCATTAATAGCACAAATGTAGTGAATAAAAACAGATGATACAAAAGCAAGACCAATCTTTTTGTTAGAAATGCTAGTTCCAGTCATCACAAAAAACTGGTTATGTTTTGGAAAAAATGTCAGCGCCAGCTCCCTGTTTGTCATTTCCATGACTGGAAATTCCACACGGGGCTGGTTCTGCTTCTAAGTTAAAAGATGCTTTTTTTAAAAACCTGTGGACAACCACACACTCAACCTGGAATTTAAATATTCATCTGGGCTCCTGCCCTGGCGCTGGATGCCACCTGAGGGGGTAACATCCAGACGTGGCAGTGACCGAGGAGGCAGGAGCTGCACGCTTTCTGGACTAAGAGAAAACTGCATTTGGATCATCATTTTGAGGTGTGAGCCCTCCTTGTTACCATGCTGAGAGATGTTGATAAAAAGCTTTGGAGATGCATAGGCTGAGCTTCAGAGAGAGCTATCATCCCCATCTGCTGGCTTCAGCTGGCTTTCCAGATTTTCATGATAATTTGGCCTGGAAATTACTCCGCATTAGACTTGAGGAAGGACCTGTTTCATTGAACTCCAAAGCTACACCTGTGTGAATGCAGGCATGGATGTGGAAACCTCAAAGAGAAATATATGAAAAACTTCTAGGAACTAATGAGTGTTTCAGGTTGTTTTTACCAGAGGAGAGGACAAGAGACTCACAAGAACAACTCAGTGCCTAGACCCTCTGAGGCTAGGGAGTTGAGGGGCTGCACTGCAGACTGGAAAGTCCTCCTGAGAGAGCAACGCTGTGTTTTTGTCACGTTGGAAGAAGAGAGGCAAACAACATGGACTCATAGGAAAAACAAAGGAAGTGCCCCAGTAAGCGGAGGCTTTGCTAGCATGCATGGTGAACACTATCCAGAAAGGATGCATTCAGGATCCTACAAGTCCAAAACTCTTTGCCATTCCAGACATTTTCATTCCAAACCTTTGGCTCCAACAGCATTGCTTTACACTCTTCTCTGAGAAACTGCAGTAACACTTTTATATGAAGACACTGTTATGCTGCCCTCTCATAGCAGAATTCCTATGGAACAGGATAATACATCCAGGAGGATACCGTGAGAATTCAGTCGTGTTTCATGTTATTACAGTGAATATTAAAGAGATTCAATCATGTTTTACCTCTTACTGCAAAGGGTTGCAAAAGTTTCTGCTATATATATGTATTTCACTGTAGAAACTGTAGGGCTGTGTAAAAAAGCTGCTTCTGTCTTACTGAAATCTATTAGCTACGATTGCACCTCTGGGTCTCATACTTCCTATATTTAATACTCTCCTTTGGTTCAAGAAGCAGCTATTATCACTCTCTTCTTAAGTCAAAGCTTAAAGGTGAACTGAAAAGCTTTTAAAATAAATCAGTAAAGCTATTCTCAAACCTCAGGTTGTTAAGGGCAAAATTTGGATACCCTTGCTCATATAGAAAAGTATCCTTCTCTTCATTTTCTATGGGTTCAAGCTACATTGCTGATATGCTTCAGGATGTATTGTCTTATTTCATGGGAATTCCTTAGTGACAGAGCAACATATAAAGATTTGAGTTTAAATTCTTACTATGGCTTCTTACTGGAAGGAAAAAAAATTCTATTCAACTTAAGCATACATGTCTGAGCCTGGGTTTAGAGGAATTCAAGATGCTGCTATCTCAGGAGGTTTCTCTCTTCTGAAAGGAAAAAAGAAAAGGGAGAAAATCTCCCCCTTAAGTACTTTTTCCTTTGGAACCAACAGCCCACAGCCATCCTCCTCACACACTTGCCTGCTGACGCTGCATTCAGCCAGTGAGAGCTGAAGACAGGCCAAAACCCAATAGCAGCCCCAACAGCTAAAGAAAATGCCATCTTTGCAAGGCTTGAAGCAGAGATGACTCAAATCAACCCAGAAGCTTCCCTTTGAGTTCTCTGAGCTCTGGATAAGATCACTTGATGGAGCTTTCTGTATGACTGCAGCTACTTCATCAAAAGCAATGAAAATCCAACTGGTTTGTTTTATCGTAAACCAGTCTGGGACCACCATTTCCCTTTCAGCTAATGGGGAATAAGGTATTACAAAAAATAAGTAAATAAATGAGGTCACTTATTCACAGTAATTCAAGATACTGTGGGATTTTTGGTCCCTTACTTCCCTACTTTTTGGTCTTGCTGTAGCCTAGGAGATGGCATTTTACTCTCCAGCTCATTCCTTTGAGACCTGGAGGGGTCATGGAGGGAAGGTACTGCCTGTGCCCTGCTAAAAAAAAGTAAATTCCACCCCCACAACACGCAGAAATCCCATGCATGAGAGGGATCCACACAATGATGGACCAGGGAGGATTTTGCCCTGAATCATTGAGATTAATGAGCTGAAAAACAGGAGCTTTAAAGTAAGAGCCATCTCTTCAAAAGAGGAAAAAACCCTCCACCCAGAAACAAGAAGCAGGTGAGTAACAGCCTAGTGCGTTCTTTTTTAATTCATACATGAGAAGCACATACTGGTCCAGAGGAACAGCCATATGCGTTTTAATGGAATATTAACTCACAGGAGGACACAAGGACCCAGCCTGTCTTATTTCACTGTTTCCCTTTCCGAGACACCCGAAGGAAAGGACAAACACAGCATGTAACACAGGTCCCGGCCCCCAAAGGAGGATGAAAATACAGATCCCTCTACTTCAGCAATATGCAATTCAGCAGTAATTCTGCAAGCTGATGACATATTAATAACAGCTGCAGAAGAGTAACTGGTTGCGTGGGACCATGGCAGAAATGGTCATTTCTCATGCAACACTGCATTTTCTTCCATTAGCACAATTCAAATGGCAGGAAAAATGCCGTCAGGAGCCTTGATGCGATACCCTTCATAGAGAGGGCTCAGACCCTGTTGTGTCAGGCCCACTCATGACAACCACAGCACTGCATGGAGTAGAAATCAACTTTTGCGTGTTAAAAATACAGTTTTCCACGAGGGAGGAAAGGATGGGAGAGAAGGACATGAAATTTTTGTACCTACCTAGCAAACGGAGAAGCAGGAAAAGCACCCCCAAAGCGTAAGACTTGAGTTCGGGGCTCACGGTCCTGTAGGGAGGAGGGGGAGAGAGCGAGCGAAATCAGTTCTTGTTGTTCTGCTTTGATTAACACACCCTGTGGCCATTCTGTGCTGTCAGCCAGGATGCCACCACCACCTCTTCAAAAAGTCATTAATGGGGTTTTTCTTCTCCCTTTGCCTGAACTGCCTACAGCCCCAAAAGTAATTGCATCGGTGACAGGTTCAGGAATTTAGCTAAGTCATTAATAACAACAGCTAATCTTGTCATTGGATGGGGAAAAATGAAATTCCCATCCCAGTAAATCATCATTTACAAGCTCCCCATCATGCTTTCAAGGCTCCAGATGTTGAGAATTGGAGGGAGAGAGAACATTTTGTTCTGAAACTTCCCAGACTACTGGGAACAAGAGAGGGAAGGGAGGATGATGGACCAAAAGGCTCAGTCAGCCTGTTAAATCAAGCCTGCCAGTGAGGAAGTGCTCAAGACGACCAGTTTTCATGGGTGTGAGTTTAGCATGCAAATTTTTTTTATGCTGGGAAGACAGCGGTTGCACTGCCTTTTGCTATGAACACAAGCCACTCTATTGCATTAGTGTTATCCTTCAAAGGTGCTTTAAAAAATAATTCATGGCTTTCTAATTCGCTTAGCTCAAGGATGCTACTGGCTAAAGTCATCCTCTTGGGGCAGGCTCAGCAAAGCCTTTGGGATTTCAGAAATCATTAATTTGGCCTTAAGTCTTATAATAGCATTTTATTTCCCACAGTATATAAAGGCTGGGAAAGCAGGACAGTGATCCCCATATGAACAGATTCATCACACAGGGGAACTTTAAAGGCCTCGGCTGCCTCTTCCATTAGCTCCTTCCAGAGGTCTGCATGCAGCACTGCTAGTGGCATCCATGGTGGCAGTGGTGGTTCTCTGTATAAATACACTGGAGGGGCATCAGACAATACCGATAAAACAGCCAGAAACAGCAATAGGTTTTAAGTTAAGAGAAGACCATTGTGATCACCTGCCCTCACCTCACACATTACACAGGCCACGTAACACCATACCATGACTCCTGCATGAAGCCTGTAACCTCTGGATGAATTTCAGCAGAGTTTTCAGGCAGATGCCCAGGCTCAATATAAAGCCTTTATGCCAGCAAATACCTACCCTTGGAAAATGTTCCAGTGGTTAATGGCTTGGCTCAAATAGAATTCTACAGTTGGGTGGGAAGTGAAGGAAACAGGAGTATTAAAGTTTATTTTATGGAAAAAAATGGATTATCATGTGAAATATTCACAGTGGGTTTTTAATCAGTGGTGGTGTCCTTCCATCCACTTTTTTGTATTTAAGACCAAAGTCAATGCCCATACTTTAGGGCAAAATAAAAGTTGCCACCTAGAGACATCTCCTTTTCTCACTGACCACAGCAGTGAACAAATGACTTGCCTTCACAAGAGATCTAACTTGTAGACACTGAAGTTCATTTTTAAATTAACCATAGGAGATGCCGATGCCACTTGTCACTGCCATGGACACCAAGGACACACTCATACACCAAAACTTTTAGCAATCCAAGACGGCAGTTGTAAGAGAGTATGAGTTGGTACACGGTGAACAGCTCTTCCCCGTACATTTTAGTAGCTATCAGCGATTCTGAGGGGAGCGTAGTTACTAATTTGGATGTGTGAATTGTTTATTTCCTACAGCTATGAGCTGAATGTTTTTAATATTCCCTTTGCTTTTCTTATTGCCTTGAATTCTTTTTCCTGGCTAGCGACTGGCTTATCTCATTTGAAGTCGACACCAAGACGTCTCCATTGAGGATCCTACAGGTGCTGGCAGCTCCCTTGAACAAAGAACTCTTCAAACTTCAAATTACTTTTGCCACACTATTTATCATGAGAAATTTGATTTCCCTTTAGCTACCGTAGATGCAAAGAGAGAAACGAACTAGTAGGTGGAATATCTCATTTTGTATCCTGCAGGGAGACATGCCCTCACAGAGCTATTCTGTCCAAGATCCACTCAACACTGTGTTTCTAATACAGACCTTATTGATTGAATTTTATTGGAATTTTCCAGGCAGCAGAATGGATCTGCTATTTATGCCTCTGGTTATTATTCTCAGTAAGTGACAGCCCGGACAGATAAGTAATTCTGGATAAACGTGGGCTTAGATATATACGTATATCATAAGGTGAAGTGTTCCGTGTGTCTGGAAATAACACAAGGTCAGTTATTTGAATAAGCTACTTTTGCCCACCTATTCATATTGGCTCAACTCAGAGATGTCCTTCAGACTTTCCAGCTCCTTCTGTTCTTGGACTTGGTCCAGGGTGAGAGAAGTTAAACTCTAGCCAGGGGGGTATGGACCAAAACTAGCTTTTGCTGCAGCCTTTCATTTTTCCGTGGTTTCTAAGATCTCCAGGCCATCTCTAAAGGTATCTTATTAAGGCATGATGTGTTGAGAACATGGGGCTGCAATTCTGCCCCTTTCTTGACGCAGTTGTAACGACCTTACTGCCTGGACTGGAAGCTGCACATCCGTATTTCCCTTCCCATGCAAATCCCAGCCTGCCGCCTTTCTTTGCAGCATCCCTGCAGGGATCTTCTCTGTTTGCAAGCCCAGTCCCTCCTCACTTCCCATTTTACCAAAGCTGTACTCAAGCAATTCCTGTATTCTCTCTAGCAGGCCAGTACTGTAGGCACTGAACTCAGTGAGGCCATGCCACGGACAAACCGGGTGCTACCAAGCGAAACAGTGACTTAGAGAGAAAATTGTTTAATTAACACTTGAAACAACGGGGCTGAAATCCAGGCAGGACTGCTCAGGCTTTTGCATCCCCAACTCCTGCCTGCACGTAAAGGCAGTATGAGAAATCCTGTGCCCACAGCTCCTCATTTGCTGAGGAGGTTCAAAATCTTTTGCAAATATGGGCAGCTCTTTCAAGGTGTCTCCACCAGGGAGTGCTTAGTTAGAGGAGGATTTTCTGATGCACTGAACCTCCGCTTAAGCCAAAGTAATTGATATGGGGACATGCAGCCAAAAAGGCAGAGGCCAGGAGCTGTGCAGGACTCTCAGCGGTACCCATCGGTCCCCCCAGCCCTGCTCCCAGCCCAAGAGCAGCCCCCAGAGAGCTCATCGCGTCTTCCCGGCAGCGGTCCTACCTGATGAGTATGATGACTGATGGCGTCTGCGCCATGGCCCCGATCATGCTGCAAACGCACATCACGCAGAGGAATGTCAAGAAGGCCTCTTCACAGCCGGGACTGGGGCATTTGCCGGGAACAACGGTGGCATTTTCGGCAGGGACTGAGGTGAGGCACGAACATCCACTGAGGTTCTGTGGAGGAGCACAGGGGTTCAGGGGAAGAGAAAGCTGAGGTCCCCACCACCCACCCTCTGTAACGAGGGCTTGCCAACAACAACTCTGAATGCTCTAATGGTCAGTTAAGTAACTCCTAAGTGCTTATTTGAGGGGGTTTGGGAAATGGCTTCAGAAGCACATCAGCTCTGACGCATGCTACCAGCAAGGGAAAGCCGTCCCTTGGCTTGTTTCTTTTCTTTCGCTCCTCTCAAGTCTGTCCCATAAATGTCACTGCGACAAAATTATTACCAAGTTATACCCCTTTGGAGGAGAATAAAGAAACGATCTGTGTCCCTGTGACAAGGAAGATCCCCAAATTATGGTTCTAATTACTTTCTTATTTACCTCCATCCTCTTGGCTGTTGCAATTAAACTGAAGTACATTAAAAGCAGGTAAATCTGCAGCCCTGTTGTTGACTGCGAGTTCGGTGCCTGCTTCCAGCACCCTGAATCCTGGGAAGGAGCCACCCATGATGGGTGCTGCAGCTCACCAAGAGCTGAACTACCACAGCTTGGCAGCACAGACACTGCTGGACTCAAGTGCACTACAGGGCTAGTAAATGACATCTGGTTCAGAGGGATTTGTGTTGAGCTAAAAGCTAAAGTCAGGCGAGATAAACTTTATCAATATGTGATCAGAAGGAGGGCGAAACGACTGCATTTTTCTTTGATCTCTCCAGCAAGTGCAGGATGTGAAAAGAAGCTTTGTCTGCCAGTCAGATTTAGGGACTTTTTTTTCTTATTTTCCAGCTCACCCTCCTGAATTTGTGAGTGGGGGATGTCAGTGCAATTAAGGCACACAATACTACCAAGAAATCCCTTAATGAATACAGAACGAAACAATCATAAATGATTCATGGCTTGTCTTTATCAGCCCGCTGGGTTTGCAGGTCACATGTTTGTAAGAGGAGTAATGCCGTAAAATAAAACATATTGAAAACCAGCTATATCTCCTCCCCTTACCCTCTACCACGTTCAAGCAGAAATTCCTTTGCTTTTCCGCTGGGGTCCCCTTAGGACCATACAAAAGCACACTTTCTGGTTCACTGCCTCCAAAGATAAGGATCCGCAGGGATACTACTCCAGCCTTTCTGACACCAATCTCTTTCTTCTGCATAGGAGTCAAATGATTTTCTTCCAAATAAGTGCACAGAGGGCAAGAGAGACCGCAGTGCAGAACTTCAGGAGAGCTGGAGTAGACATGCAGGTGCCTTTCTGGCTGGCAAGCAATAATTAATATAACAAATTCCTGTGCTGTGAGTTAGAAGCTGCCACCCGAAGCCTTTGAGATGGTGACAATTAGCACCACTGCAGTGGCGTTTGCAGAGACCACAGGAATTTGTAGTTCCTGGCTCTTACTGCAGTGCACTGCTAACAACCAGCCTGGACACAGCCCTGTGGATTAAAACCCATCTAAATCCAGGAAAGTACACACCTGCATTGAAATACCCTGGGACAAAACTCCCATCACAGCAAACATGCAGAACTGGCTGCTTATCTCCCACGGGCTCCTATCAATGGAGAGAAAGCACCTGTTTCTGGCAATGGTGGGGCAGATTCTCCTCCCATTGGTGTGATTTTATACCTGGTGAACAAACCATGAGGCAGGACCCCACCTCCACTGCCTGAAACTTTGCCCCTCAAACTGCTTTTTTGACCATTTTGCACCAAGGTGCTAGCCCAAAGTAGTTGCAAGTAGTTTGTACCAACTACACATGCTTGCTTAGTGCTGCATCTCAGCCTTACCTAGGAGATCTTTGATCTTTTATTACTGACACGCTATACAACTCACAGACATCAAACAAGGAAACATCAAATATGGAGTTTCACCTCTGTCCTGTGGAAAGTCAACTTTTTGCTACCTGTGCCAAATTGCTATAGATTCCCTTGTCTGCAACCCCACTGCATTCAACCACACATTATCACAGCCTTCCACTGCTCACCAGCTTGCACACCTAGATCTTCTGTGTGCATGTGAAGCTGCACAGATGCAGAATATGCACCTTTAACAGCACCCTGAGTTTGGAGTAATTATCTATACAAATTACCCATGTTTTTAATTACTCATTTTTTTAAACCCTGGCTCTGACAGGGAAGGGACAGGCTGGTACTTCAGTGCAAAGCTGTGAGATGCCAGCACGGTAATGCCAGGCTGGAATTCATGTGTCTCCAAGCCAAAAGGGGATACTGAGAGAAGCAATGGCATCAAAACAAACAAGATGCATGGTCAAAGGCTTCGTATGCAAGGGTCACTCCCAGGAACAGCTTGAAAAAGAAATTCCTGAGGGTGCCAGATCTCTGCCTGTCAGCACGATACTCCTATGGCTTTTTGGATAGGTGCGCCTCTGCAACCAGCTCAGTAAGAGAGAAGAAATGAAAAAGAAAGAACTGAGCTACTCATTGCTTTTAGAAATTGTTCACAGAGGAAAAGTGGAGAGAGGCAGTCAGAAACGTCCAATGCAGTAAAGTTAAATAAAGCATTCAGAGAATTTTATGTCCCAGTAAAAAGCAACCCTTGGCTCATCACAAGCATATAACATTCACAAGACCCTCTAGACAGGTCATTACCTGGATTATGGGTTTAAAACCTGGTTTGGCAATTTGGCTTTGTCTCAGGGCCATTGCATGGCCAAGCTGGTCCATAATTCCTGATAATGCCCTTTCCAGAGGATGCTATTGCTTCACTAATTTGTGTTCAAAACGTTACTGCAAAAAACCCCACAAAACAAAGCAATGAAAAGAACCCCAAGATGATGATGAAAAGGCAAAATAAGAAAGAATGAGTAAAAGAGAGGGTGAGGGAGAGCGACTTTTTTGCTCAGAGGTTTGCTCTTGGCAGAGCATGAGGTCAGGCAGCTGCAGACTGAAGGGGCAGAGCTGAATTTTCATTACTGTGCTCTTTCCAGAGGAGCCAGAGCTTTGCCCTGAACCACACAGCGAGGAGGTCACTCCGGCACTCCAACCACAGACCACACCAGCTGTATTCTTCCTAAGGGCTCGGTGAACTGGCGAGACACTATTCTGTGTGCCCTGTACAAGCTGTCTTCATTGTTAAAATGACGTTGCCGCCCCAGGTGTTGACTTGTCTCTTGTTGGGAGGAGGAAGAGGGCAGGAGGCAACACCTTTGCATGTGCCACACATCCATGGAGTCCCTTGTGGGGTTGCTGAAAGCACCTTGAAACTGTGATATTTCAAAGGGATGCCTATGCCTCCGAGGCTGGAATGGGAATTGAGGAGAGAAGGGGTTTAAGCAGGACGAGCTCCCAGGTTATCTGGGCCATGCGGCTGCACTTGCTAGCAGCAAGCCTGCACCTCTGCTCGCCACCATGTGTAGGCGGTTTGTCTCTTTAGGGCAGGAAGGGAGGTTGATATCTCCCCAAAAAGGAAGGATGAAGCTGTGGAGGGATAACTGTATGTGGTGAGCACTGATGTCCCTGCAGCCATGAACTGTCACTGCGACCAGGCTGACCTCCCATGGGCTCCACACAGGCGGTGTGGCAGCGGTCACCATGTCTGGCACGGCCCTGGGCAGGGAGCAAGGACTGCATGAACCCCACCAGTTCCCCCCCACAGGAGCAGCAGGCACTCATTTTCAGTGTAACCCAGAAGACACTAGCATTTCAGCAGCCAAAAAAAAAGAAAAGCAGGCTTTTAAGATATTGTTAAAAATTCCCCACATCTTCTTTACATGGAGATGGTTTGGTCTTTAAGAGTTTTCTAAAGAAAATAAACTCTTAGATATGGAGAACTGAAAAATGCAGAATGTCTTTGGATGGAGTCTCTGCTCCCTTGACAACTGCTCTTGCTGCTGCCTCAGAGCAAAGCAGAGGAAGAGAGAGAAGCGAGAGGAGTGAAAGGAAAGCTTAAACAAGGGTGAATAAAACCAGGATCTGGTCATATGTGTCTAGGAACCAGATTCAGGAAAAGAACAAGAGGAAAAAGAATAAAAGGATTGGGCAGGGTGAACACAGGCAGGTGGAGAAGCAGGAAGATGGGGGGCTGCAGGAGAAAAGAGAAGGTGGTCCCACAGCCCAGGCTAGCGAGCTCTTGCGGAGGATCTGAGTTCTGCCGGTGGACAACCGTGCAGATCTCCTCTCGTGTTCCTTTGCTTCCGTGCTGAGGAGAAAGACCCGGAGTATGATGATGGGAAATCCCATCCTGCTCTATGGGTGACCCTGACACACTGCTGTCAGAGTTAGCGGGCATTTATGCAACAAAGTGAAAAACAACAGTGGCTCAGGCCCATCTGAGGTATGAGGTTAGCTTTTGGGGGTGTAACCACTGCTGGCTTTAAATGAGCTACTCTACAAGATAGACACCAACCTCACGCATTCGCGCTCACAGAATCTTTCCTACAGGCAGGAGGTCCTGAGGAAAGCCCACTCACCGTGCTGCTGCAGCCAGCAAAGCAGGCAGATAAGTATGTGACCCCGTCTGCCCCACAGACTGGAGTGAAGGAATCAGTTTGGCATTCACAGTTGTTATTGCAGGGGGAATATGGGTCCAGAGATGAGGTTGGAGTGGAGCTGTAAGAGAAACAGAAAGAAATTATATGAGCCACGAGTGTAATGATATCAGCCAGCTTTTCCAACCAGTGCCATGCAAAGATTGCTTTGAACGGGGTTAGTTAAGGCAAACAAATTACAAAAAGCAGTGAGCAGGCTAGCTGGGTCCCAGCTTTAAGAAATCCAGGCTACAGCCTCTCCGTGGGGACAGAAATGCCATGGCCACTATCCCTCTGCAACAGGGAATCTAAGGCGAGGCTTGGGCTGTCTTGTTACCCCAAAAAGAAGCCCCGAGGAAACCCACAGATATGCTGCGGAGATTGCTCTGCATTTTTCTAGAACAGTGACTGTGAGGAGCTGAGAGCCTGAAGTCATCTCCTACAGAGTCGCCACTGTATACTGAGGAGCACCAGAAAAGAAAATACAGAATAACTCTCTCCAGGTCTTGTGAATGGTACAGGGCACCATGTGCCTCTCTTCTCCCATCAAAATGGGCCTCCAGCCACGCATACTCTCTCCTCACCATATCTGAACTTCCAGGCATCTAAAACCTGGTTCTACAAATTCCCCTCAGGCACTTAGATAAATGTACAAAGCAGGGCATGTCCCTCGCTGACAGGAGAAACCAGACGGTGCAGTGGACCCAATGCTCTGTAGGTGGCCATGGGTGTAGAATCAGGTCTGGCACCTTTTGATTCAGTTTGAACAATTTTAGTAAAACTCCATTGTCAGCTACAGGTATTCAGTTCTCACAGCAATGAGTGGCATGAAAACCTCCCAAAATAAGAGCCCTATACAACATTGCCTTCTGTATGTTTGCTCTATATGGTTGTCTAAGGGCCAGCATTGCCTGAAGGCTGCCCGTCAAGGACAACAACATGGCATTTATGTTGGTAAGGCTGCGTGAGACCCTGAAACTCTCTGGGGACTCACTTGTTTCCATAGGGAACAGTAACCCCTGCCACAGGTCCTGTGTCGCATCCCAGGAACAGAAAAGACACGTAGCAAGCTGTGGACACCAGGTTCACCAGCATGGCCATCCTGATGGCTCCCAGAGCAGACAGGCTGAGCTTCTTCACCAAGAGGCCACCCAGGAATATGCCCAGACATGCGCATGGGATTGCTGTCATCCCTGCAAGAGGAAAAATCAGTTAGCAAGAAGTGCGAGTGAGGCTCAGTGAACCACACTATTGCAGCTTTTTACTTTACAGCAGAGAAATCTGTGTGCTAGCATGGGGAAACCTTGCAATGACCAACTGCTGGAGTAGCACCAAGCTGGGGTTGCCCAAAAAGAGAGGCATGGATGCAAACAGGTATGCCGCCTTGCACAGAGGAACGGGGATCTTCTTCCCGTTCTCATCTGTAGTGGAGGGAGATGCCAAAATTGATGAGATTGGCCCACCCTAACCTAAGCAGCAGCATCTCTAATGCTTCCTGCAACAGTTGGCAGACAAATAAAGTCAAGAATTTTCTGAGGTGTCTAGAGGCTTTGGATGAGCCCTGCTTGGTATAGTTCACAGCAGTCTGATCTTCAGAGATTAGGCAATAGTCGCATTTGAAATTATGAAGCCTCCCTTAAAGAATCATCTTAAACTGTGAGATGCAAAATCACTGCCAGAAGTGACTCACTTTCCAGGCACAGAAAGGCATTATCACACTAAGCTTGTCTGGGTTCACTTCTATCCTTTTGCTGCCAGTTATACTCCAGACCGTACCTACCTGGGCTAAGCTTAGAAGTGCATCCAAATCCTGGCATTTCTGGATTGCCACAAATGCCACCTGCGAAATCTGGCAGCAACTTTGTTTAAATTAGACAAGTTGTTGTGAGGACCGTGGAAGTATCAAAGTCTCCTTTCCTGTCTCTGGTAGGTCAGAGACAGGACATGCTCTGGCCCACAAGGTGATTCCCTCTTTGCTGACCACCCAGCTGTACACACATGCTGACTGGCCAGGCATCCCCCATCAGACAGTGTAGTGGTTTTCCTTCTCCCAGTGGGTCAACAGTGAAGTTGCTTTCCTTTGCCAAACCTTTAATTTTCAGGAAAGATGGAAGACCCTAACATCTTCGAGACCTCTGCCCTTCTGTCAAAACCTATTAAAACTCAACAGTGAGTTCCTGTGTTGCTGGGGGATGCAAGATTGACTGCAGGGGATTGTTTCTTTTGGAAAACCAGACCAAAACCAGAAGATGACAGTGAACTCAATGGGAAAATAAATAACTGTCAGGAAAGCAGCTTGCAAACTCCTTATTTTGATATTAAGATCCATCCATTTCATGATGTCCCAGTTTTTGACAGATCACTGCCAGCTGCCCATCTGGCAAGCTGTGGTTGCAGATCATCCAAGATCACCTCATAGATATCTTAATTGGGTGCTGCTGAGAGAATGGCTGTCATAAACAAATCGCTGGCCCTGCTTCGGAATGAGCAGCAGGAGAAAATAAATGAAGATCCTGCCTGCACGGCACTATCCTGACAGGGAACGAATGAACATTGAGAAATATATATATATATGGGAAACCACGGCAGCATAGCATGGTCAGGGAGAAGGGGCATTTGAAAGACAACCAAGCCGCACTAGCTCGGCTGTTTGAACTGCTCGTTGCAATCCTATCATTTCCAGTCCAAGGGGAAAGGAGGGAATAGCAGGAGAAACTGGGCTTCCTAACCCAAATGGAGATGGGCTGGAGAACTCTGGGATAGCTGAACCATCAGACAAGCAGTTCAACAGGCAGCCCTGTTGTTCGGTGAGCAACTGCAGTCTTGGGCAAACAAACAGCCCAGTTTAGTTGGGATTTCTGCTGTACTTCAGGGCCATCACAGACTTTCATATCCTGGCTGTATCACACCACTTCTCAGAAAATGGGCTTAGCTATAGGGGAAGTGACTGCGGCGGGCTGCAGTGGAGAGCGCACTCAAGGAGGAAGGGTGCTGGAGGTCTGCTCTGGGCTCCGCAGCCAAGGCACAGCTGGAGCCCAGCCCTCCCACTCACGGACACATTTCTAGACGTTGGGCAAGCCACTTTCTGAGCAGCCTAACTGGTGAGCATGGTTGCGGTTACCAGCCTTGCTGAATACTTCTAAATGCCTCTGGACTCTGGAGAGCTGGTGGCCCCTGTGGTTACTCACCCAGGAGCTGGTTGGCAGACGAGGTGGTGAGGTTGAACTGCTGCTCCAGGTACTTTCCCAGGAAGGCGGCGAAACCAGCCACCACTGCGATCTCCATGCAGGCTGCCAGGATGATACAGGTGAAGACGGGATTGGAGAGCAGGTGCTTAGTTACTTTGGGGATCACTAGAAGAGAGGAAAAGGGAGAGGTGTTTTTGTTGTAGGCTCTACTTGAAGTGCTGGAGGTGCCTTGCTGCTCTCCCACAGGAAAAACTCACTTAAAATCAGGAGTATTTTCTATTCGGCACAGACAAGCTGGTTGAAATGTGGCAACACCAGAACAAACTGAAACACCAGAACAGTGTCATCTGAAGATTCAGATACGAGGAGCATGCAAAAAGAAGTCACCTGTCATTATGTTTACATCTTACAGATGATTTTGAAATTCTGAAGGATCAGTGTTTTCCAATATTGCTTTTGTTTCCCCCATATGAAGGTCAATCAAAACCTAGTATTCTCTTTCTCCTCCTTCCCCTCCCTGCCCTCCATGAACAACACTGAGCCAGCCGATCAGTGTCATGAGTACTGTACTCGGCACTGCACAAATTCTTGCAAGGTTTCAGACGCAAGCTAACACAGCTCACACTTGGCCTTTCCTTCTCCTGCCATCCAGATTTGCTTCATTTTCTTACTCCCACGTAACACCAGCTCGCTTGCTGAGGGACACCTTCTTGCAGCACATTTGGGTGCAAGCTGAAATTCTCCTGCCCAGCCCGGGGCCACAACCACCATGGGCATAAGAGACCTCATGCCTGTCCCAGGCATGTCAGCCTGTGTGTTCCCATAAACCACAGCTTCACCAGCCAAGCAACGCCTTCCATGCAGACCCTACCGGCCTTGGTGGCTGTAACGGTGAAAGAGGACACACTGAGCTATTCACTGTGTAAGATGCACAGACACTTGCTTTAGTTTCATGATCCCTTGCTCCTCCCTCCCGAATCATTAGCGTCCAGAGGCCCCTTCTCCAAGGCCGTCTCTATTTCAGATAAGCAAACACGAGTTACCTTACAAAGGGAAATCTGGCTAATGAATCAGATAGCACATTTTCTACTTCAGCGAACATTTTAATTATTGCCGAGATAACACAGCTTGAAGAGGAGAGCATCCCAGCACAGAAGAGAGCCTTGCTTTGTCTCAATACCTGATGACTAATTTCTCCCTGAATTAAATGTGAAAATCATTAAGTTTGAAAATTACCTCGCTGAAGTGTACTGAAGCCTCAATGGACCCCCATTTGCATTTTGAAAATCCATCCCCCACATGCCCTATGGTGTACCAGGGTCTGGCAGATGACAGATTTCTCTGATGTTGGCTTCTGTTTTCCCTTAGGGCTTTTTCTGGTGCAAAATCTAATTGCACTGGCCTCAGCAAGTAAATGCACAGCTCTTTGTCAAGGGTCTCCTTGGGTCCCCTTCGTTCTTTCTTTGGGGAGGGAAAAAAAAAGGGTTATAATTAGGTTTGATCCAACCTTTTTGGAAGGGGCCACACCACAGTTTCTGGCCTCTTTATATCACAAATGTTTTTTCATGCTGTATAAAATTCTTGCTTCCTGAGGATTTGCTGAACATAACGAAGGTGCAGGAGGCATAGTATTTTTTAGTAGAACGGGGGCGGGAGGGGAAGAGAAAAAAAATACTGCGAGGGAGGAATGGGGGTGAGGGGATTCAGATGTGGATAGAGCTCAGAAACCACCTGCTGCCTCCTTCAGTTCTTTGGTGCCCACCTACAGAATATCCTCTTCTTGCCAGGAATAGGAAGGAAAATGCAAAGGTGGACTTGGCAGCACTGAGCTTGGAAAGCCATATTTAAGGTATTAATGCCTGTTGTGCCTCTGGAGTTCAGTCTGTTTGAGATTAATGGATTCCTCGAGATGTAGCTTTGTGCCAATTCAAATGCAAAGACACAAAGGTCTATCTAACTTTATCCACCAAATAGTAACAATGGCAGCCTATCTTTTGGAGGAGGGAGTTAAAGATCATGGACGTTTATTTCTGAAGTTGGCAAGGCTGGTACCAAAGAATCATGCATTACCAAGGTCAAAATCCATCCTTCATACTTAGAATCATAGAATCATAGAATTGTCTAGGTTGGAAA